TGGTGTGTAGATGTCACAGTGATTCTGCAACATTGTTCTCCACTCCTTGAATCAATTTTTATAACCTGTAAACCGTTTTACTCGCCTCGCGAGTTCGCGTCGCTCATTTTGGTCGGAGTTTATTTGCCGCCTTGTCCTCAGGTTAAAGAGGCCCAACGCATGCTCGCCGATCAGATTCTGAGTGTGGAGCGAGCAAATCCAGATTCGTTGGTTATCGTACTTGGCGACTTTAACAAAGGTAATCTCAGCCACGAACTCCCCAAATACATACAATTCATTAAATGCCCAACCAGAGAAGGGAACACTCTGGATCACTGCTACACTACAGTCAGTAGAGCCTACCACGCCGTCCCCCGAGCAGCACTAGGACACTCCGACCATGCCATGGTCCACCTGATTCCTGCATACAGGCAGAAACTAAAACTCTGTAAACCTGCTGTGAGGACATCTAAACAGTGGACCAGTGAGGCTGTGGAAGATTTGCGGGCGTGCTTAGACTGTACTGACTGGGATATGTTCACGACTGCTACCAATAGTCTGGATGAACTCACAGAGGCTGTGACGTCCTACATCAGCTTCTGTGAGGACTGCTGTATCCCAACACGTACCAGGGTGAACTTTAACAACAATAAGCCCTGGTTCTCAGCAAAGCTCAGAAGGTTGAGGTTGGAGAAGGAGGAAGCGTTTAGGAGTGGAGATAGAGACAGATTCAAGGAGTCGAAGAACAGGTTTAGCAAAGCGGTGAGAGAGGCTAAACGACTGTACTCAGAGAGACTAAAACACCAGTTCTCTACAAACGACGCTGCTTCTGTCTGGAGAGGGCTCAGGCAGATCACCAACTACAAACCCAGAGCCCCCCACACCACTAACGACTCCCGCCTAGCCAACGACCTGAACGAGTTCTACTGTAGATTTGAAAGACAATTGGACTGTCCTGAACCACCCCTTCCAACCCAAGAGGCCCCATCCCCCACCAATACTGCAGAGACGACTATCTCCTTTCAGGAGGGAGAAGTTAATAGACTTTTCAAGAGGCAGAATCCACGCAAAGCAGCCGGGCCGGACTCTGTCTCTCCAGCCACCCTCAGGCACTGCGCTGACCAGCTGTCTCCGGTGTTCACCAACATCTTTAACACCTCCCTGGAGACATGCCATGTACCAGCCTGTCTCAAGTCCTCCACCATCATCCCTGTGCCCAAAAAGCTAAGGCCAACAGGACTAAATGATTACAGACCGGTCGCCCTTACATCTGTAGTAATGAAGTCTTTTGAGCGCCTGGTCCTGGCACACCTCAAAGCCATCACAGACCCTCTCCTGGACCCCCTTCAGTTTGCCTACAGAGCCAACAGGTCTGTGGACGATGCAGTTAACATGGCCCTCCACTTCACCCTACAGCATCTGGACGCCCCAGCATCCTACGCCAGGATCCTGTTTGTGGACTTCAGCTCTGTCTTCAACACCATCATCCCTGCCCTGCTTCAGGACAAGCTCTTCCAGCTGAACGTGCCATACACCACCTGTAAATGGATCACAGACTTCCTGTCTGACAGGAAGCAGTGCGTTAAGCTGGGAACACAAGTCTCTGACTCCAGGTCCATCAGCACCGGAACTCCTCAGGGCTGCGTCCTTTCCCCTCTGCTCTTCTCCCTGTATACCAACAGCTGCACCTCCAATCATCTGTCCGTCAAACTATTGAAGTTTGCGGATGACACCACCCTCATTGGGCTGATCTCTGGTGGGGATGAGTCTGACTATAGGTGGGAAGCTGACAATCTGGTGACCTGGTGTAGCCAGAACAACTTAGAGCTAAATGCTCTAAAGACAGTTGAGATGGTTGTGGACTTCAGGAAGAATACAGCACCACTCACCCCCATCACCCTGTTAGACTCCCCAGTCAAAATTGTAGAGTCCTTCCGCTTCCTGGGCACTATTCTCTCCCGGGACCTCAAGTGGGAATTGAACATCAGCTCCCTCACCAAGAAAGCTCAACAGAGGATGTACTTTCTACGGCAGCTGAAGAAATTCAACCTGCCAAAGACAATGATGGTGCAATTCTATACAGCGATCATTGAATCCATCCTCACCTCCTCCATAACCGTCTGGTACGCTGCTGCCACTGCCAAGGACAAGAGCAGATTGCAGCGTATCATCCACACTGCTGAGAAGGTAATTGCCTGCAATCTACCAATCCTCGAGGACCTGCACACGACAAGGTCCATGAGGCGAGCGAGGAAGATTATGGCCGATTTCTCCCACCCTGGACACTCTCTGTTTCAGCTACTCCCCTCCGGCAGAAGGCTTCGGTCCATCAGGACCAAAACCTCACGCCATAAAAACAGTTTCTTCCCATCTGCTGCTGGCCTGTTAAACAAGGCCAAGGGCTAACACTGTTTTTAACATTTGATCTACATAACGACACCTTGCCGATATTAACTATGTTACCCTATTAGTATTTTTTATTTTTAAATTATATCTTAAAGCTATTTTATATTCGATATTTATTTAATTTTATATACTTCAGCCCCTTGGTGTTAGACGTTTAACCCTTATTATAGTAAGACTTGTTTAAAACTTATTTAAGATTTTAGATTCCTATATGTTGAATGTATGCACCATCCTGCCAAAGTAAATTCCGTGTCGGTGTGAACTTACATGGCGAATAAAACCCTTTCTGATTCTGATTCCTATATCCGTCCACTTCACAAAGGGGGCCCTAAAGATGATCCAAATAACTACCGACCTATCTCAATTTTGTCCCCGTTGATGAACATTTTTGAAAAATTATTGACCTAGCAAATTAGCAGTTTCCTGTCCACCAACAACCTACTACATCTAAAACAATCTGGGTTCCGAAAAAAATACAGCACCGCATTTGCTGCATTAGACTTTCTGAATCACATTTACAGTAGCCTTGATAATAAGCAGTACTGTGCCTGTCTTTTTCTAGACCTGTCCAAAGCTTTTGATACAGTAGGCCACAACACCCTGCTTAGTAAACTAAGTTGCCTCGGTTTTTCCGAGAACACAGTACAATGGTTAAAAAATTACCTCCTTTCTCGCGCCCAAACTGTATTCACAGATGGTTGGAGGTCAAACATTGTTAAGATAACAAAAGGGGTTCCACAGGGTTTCAGCCTCGGCCCCTTTTGTTCTCTCTTTATGTCAATGACTTGGGCACTGACCTGGATCATTCCAGGGTAAATCTTTTTGCAGATGACACGATACTGATTACTGCTGGCCGCTCTCCGGATGACGTGATTGCTAAGCTACAGGGTGATTTCAACAAACTACAACATCAGCTAGTTGCTCTTAAACTAGTCCTGAATACCTCCAAAACCAAGGTGCTATGCTTCTCACCAGGACTAAAGCAGGAAGTTATTTTTCCCCAATTACATTCCTTAAATAATTATCAAATAGAGCAAGTCAAGATCTATAAGTATCTTGGGGTCATCCTGGATTCAAAACTGAATTTTGAAGATCACATTGATAATATTGGTAAAAAACTAAAATAAAAATTGGTTTTCTTTATCGACACAAGCACTGCTCCCCCCCAATGTTCCGTTTGGAATTGATAAAAGCTACCATACTGCCTCTACTTGACTACTGTGACATCATGTATAAATCAGCCCCAATTACTGTACTGAAGAAGCTTGATTCCATCTATCACTCGGCCTTAAGATTTACATTGAACTGCCCATATAGGACTCACCACTGTGATCTCTACATTAGGTCAAACTTAACACCTCTTAATGTTCGACAGCTTGTGCACCAGATCTTATTTATTCACGATGTACTTACAAAAAATCCGCAGACTACCTGCTGGATCTCCTCACTGTTTCAAAGAACAAATTTGACATCAGGTCTTCGCTCATTTACTAGCTTCACATTCCCTATTGCTGTACAAAAACTGGAGGAAGGGCCTTTGCTATTGATGCCCCCAGGGTCTGGAATGCTATTGGCAATAAACTGCAACTTGAATCGCTACCAATGAGATCTTCTTTCAAAACTGCTCTAGAGGCGTTGTACACCTCTAGCTGCCACTGCTATTCATTGGCGTAAAATAAAATGTTTCGCTCCGGATGACGCTGCAAAGTATTATCTGTATTTTAATTTAGCGTGCTGATCTTAAAGGTGCATTGAAAAATTTGATACTCCGACTGATGCTTCTGTTGTTGTGGAGTAACTCATGCAGCCCGCTATGGCTCTAGGATTTGGTGTTACATGTTATTTATGTAGTTTATTGTAAAAATTCGGTCACAGTCCCTGTGATGACTGTTACGTTGCAATTATGGCTTTATTTTTTGGTGATTTCGAAAAGTTTTTTGGTTTGGACATGTTTGTTTTGTTGTAGTACGGAGTTAGACTGATGGCCTTAATCTAAGTTTTCTTGTGGTTGTTGTTGTTTGACTTGCATTCCACTGGGATTTTTTTGCACACAGCGTTGGTGTACGGTGCTTTTTTTCAGGAATATTTTGCTGTTTTTTTCATGGATTTTCTGTTTGCACAGTCACATAGTCACTTTAAGATGTTTTTCTTGTTCGTGTTTTTGTTTTTTTGTTTGTTGTGGTTGCACCCGATTCAAGAGCCGAATGGCTCACAGGGCTATACCAAAATAAATAAACTGAAAAACTGAGTACTCTTTGTTTTTTTCGGTAAAGTCACGTAGGTAAAATAAAATAAAACAACTAAATTAAATTACGACGTTTCGGAGGCAACACAAGTTTCCGTCTTGTTTTTGTGGATACAGCGAATTTTGCTGCGTCTTTTCCACCTGAAGACGGGAGGCTTGTGTTGCCTCCGAAACGTCGTGATTTAATTTAGTTGTTTTATTTCACCTACGTGACTTTACCGAAAAAAACAAAAGTGTATGGAATCCTTGCGGTCACGAAAGCTTCAAATCTAGAATGAAAAACTGAGTCCCATACGAGGTGGAGCTCCGCCCACCCCGCGACACTCCCCGCCCCCTCGGCTAAGTAGCTCCGCCCCCCTTAACCCCCGCCCCCCCGCCCGCCGCTTGCCGCGCGGGGCGATGGGAACGCGGCTCCCGTTCTAATTCATAAAATGGCGGCAACGTCGTCGCAGGAGACGAACAGCGACGATGAATTCGAGGCGGGTTTGACGTTTTTAACGTTTTTAACGTTTGACGCCGGATACCTTTGTTGCTGTTGTTAAAAAAAAAAATTCCCATTTTTTTGTTTGTTTGTTTGTTAAATCGTTGTAATTTTAGCGTGAAGCCGCGTTTGTTTCTCCCGGCAACGTGAATCTGCCTCACGGTTTATTTTTTTATTTTATTTTTGTCGCGCGAGTTGACCCGTGCTTGTTGTGTTAGCGAGTGTACGATGTCTTAAGGAGTTTGTGAACATTGTGGGGTTGCGGTAGTGCCGTGGCGGTCAGCGCGACGAACCCGGCCACCCGAGTTCGATTCCCGCTCACGGCCACCGCCCGCAGCGGGTGACAAATTCTCTGAACCGGTGCTGGGCCTCCCACTAGGTCGACTCGGCCTCAAATGACTACCCCGGTGCGCTGTGTAATAAACGTCGCCGCCGGGGGAAGACAAAGGCGGCCGGGCGTGGTGTTGGCCGCCCAATGCCCCTCGGGGCGGATCTTTGTTTTTGATGGCCGTGAGAGTTTTAAAATTCGCCTCGGCCGAGGAAGTCTCCGCTGCGCGTGAGCGGCTTCCGACTCCCCCCCCCCAACCCCCCCCCCCCCCCCGTGTATCGCCGTCACTCGTCGTCTGAATTGGTCTTTCGTTTTGCTTGGTTGTTTCAATGTTAAATAGACGTCAATTAGCAAACCCCGCGAATTGTTTAATGTTTCTAATTAAGCGGGGTGTGGTTTAACGCGGGTTCGTTGTTAAATGACTTGGTGGTGGGGCGGGCATGTGTTGTTGTTGTTTGTGTTGATGCGAGTCTGGTGCGCGCGCTCGCCGCTCGGTCTCGTCTACAAGTGCGGGAATGTGAACAAAGCTGATGTTGTTTAAAGTCATCATTACGTGTGGTTATTTACAGCAGTAAGTGGTGTGAGTGTGACGGTGGTGGTGGCGGCGTGTTACGTGTAAACGTGTTCAAGTTACCGCCAAGGTTAGAATTTTTTTTGTTTATCATCGGCTAATGAATGGCTAGAGGTTTAACGTATCTACAGCAACAATGTTAGCTCCATCTCCGTCAATTCCATTGTCAATTTCCGTAACTTAAAACAGGAACATCAACTATATGAACGTTAACTGCATGAACAACTCGTCAACATCGCCTACAGCGTGAACATCAGCTTAGTCACCATCAACAATGGAATTGTCAACGTAACCATCGTCCCTTCCATCACCGATTCCCAGATCGGTCGTTATCATTAGCAGCTAGCACCATCAACTCTAAACTAAAAAGTATCGTCATTATCACCACCACCTGTAGCATTAACAGCTCTTAAAATCGGCCAATTTACCGATGGCATCGTCAAATCCTTCAACCGAATCATCCATAGTCCATCATGAACCCCATCATCACAACCATCAACCCTATGGGGGTTGACCCTATGAGGGTTAACCATTTGAAAGCCCGTAGTGGCGAGGCAGTGCGTGGACGTCAATTACTGCGATGTTGCGAGGCGGCCTCTCTCGCCCCTTTTAATTCGCTGAGTGTGCTCTATTTTCGTCCGTCTTAGTGCAGTCGGGACGACAGCCTGTGGAACTTTAGTCTAGTCTTCTCCATCTGTATAGATTTCATTGAGTAATTATTTTGGTCTATTTGACCGAAAGCAGTCGAACAATGCATGCCACTCTTTGTTATTATGTCAATAATTGAACTCTGTAAATATTTGCGTTTTTATATAGTGTGTGTATATATAGTATAGCCAATTACCGATTTAAGTTATCCTCGGTTCATAGTCTGTTTTCACCCAGATGAGTTAATTTGGTCTTGTCTCAGTCATGCCTTGCATGGCTTTGGGTGGAAAAGTCACGCCCACGTTTGACGACTTTTCATCGACTCGCAGCCACCACCATGGACCAAAATAACAAACCAAAACAATGGCTTTCGCGACAAATATTTCCAAGAGCCGGGGAACCGCGCGAGAACAAACTTTTAACCTCTCCCCTCGCAGGTGGAGGCCATCCTGGACTGGCGAGTGCGGCGTGGCCGCGCCGAGTACCTGGTGAAGTGGAGCGGCTACGGTGCAGAAGAGAACACGTGGGAGCCTCCCGAGAACCTGGCTAACTGCCCCGAGCTGCTGAGCAACTTCAGGGCGCGCACGCCGCAGCTGTCGAGCCCCGTGCGCAGCCGCCACGGCACGCCGCAGGGGACCCCGCGACGCAGGCCCCAGCTCCCCGATAGCCCCCCCGGGTCGCCAACCGCACGTCCACCCATCAAGGAGGTTCGTTTAGTTGTTTTTTTTTGCTTGAGTAATTATGCCGAGCAACGGGGGGTGGTGGGGGGGGCGGCCGTGTAATACGGCGAGAAAGACAGGGTAACAAACGGCACTATTTAAAGTAGTAATAGATGAGAGTTAATGCTTCACTTCAAGTGAACGAGGTTATTTTAAGCGCTATGGGAAGGAATTCCAAAGGCCCAAACGCCAAGCGGGCCAGTGTTACGTGTGTGTTTTTGGTGTTGCTGATGGGATTGTGGTGGTCATTGTGAGAACGGAGATTGATTTTTATCGGTTAAGGAAAGGTAAAAATTGTGGAATGTTGGCTGCGACATATATGATGGGTTAACTGAGCGTGGCAATCATGTCATGCCTCCGAATTGTTTGATTTCATCTTGCCAGCTCTTGAGCTGTCTTCCAGCTCTGCCTTAAGTAATGTGCAATGTTTTGTGAACCTTGAAGCGCGGTCGAGATCGTATGCAACGTTGTTAGACATGGAAACTGAAGGGCCGTCACCCTCCTCCCTACAAAGGGATGTGGCGAGACATTAAACGATTGGAAGCTTAATTTCCGCTTGAATCGAACGTGAGGCGGAGGCGCGCGATGGCCTGGCACGGCAAGGTTAAGGGCTCCCTCGGGTCTGGGGTCGGTCGGTTGGGCGCGCAATATTTTCCCGTTGCCCCACCAAGCAAGCGATGTCGTCACCCAACCCCACCCCTATTTATAGTCGTTGCATCATCATCGCTGCCACTGCCGCTCAAACACACACACGGTTGACAGGCGCCTCTGTGTGTATATTTGCGTGCAGTGTCGCGGTTAGGGCACCGCGCTATGAATCCTGCTCACAGCCAATATTAGTAACATATTTAAACTGGTCCTTGGACTTCCCTAGGTCGCCTCAGCCTTAATTAAATAAGTACTTGGTGTTGGGTCATGATGCTGAGCGTGCTGACCGGCCACAACCACCCACCCACTTGCGTTCTATTCGAGCCTTAATTGTTGCTCACGATCAGCGATCGCCCCAGCGGTCTGTTAAAGCCTAGGTAACAGGGATCACAGGTGGTGCACATGTCATTAATTTAATCCATAACACATGGGTCTATCCTGTAGCTTACCAGCGAGTCTTGAACACATTACGTGGCCTCAGAGTGCACCTAGCCTGGCAGAAGCATTGTGTTGACAACGCTGTCTGTTGGTGAATGGTTGGCTGTTGCTTGTGTCTGTGTCCAATGGTGGGCAGCTGCCGGGCAAACAGGTGGAGCAAGAAGCAGAGCTCAACCACGCCGGGGACACCAGCGCAGCGCTTGACACGCGCACACACAACGGCACGCAGGTTAGTATTCACTGGGACGGTGGTCAGTAGAGCGGCGGTTAGTTGGTAAAACCGATTGCTGCTTCAGCAACAGCTGATATGCGTTGCTTGACCTTTGCCCAGAGCTGCACCATTACAGTGAATGGTCGCCGACGACCGGTGGCTGAAGGTGACGTGTATTAGGGCCGGCATGGCTCACGTGGTGTGTGCCACGTGGGGTGGGCGGTTGGGCGGCCTGTCGAGATGTATTTTCGGTTGTTTTTGAAAGGCCGAGCGCGGGGGGGGGGAGTTTGCTTTATAGTGGAGCCACTGTGTGTTTGTGCACGCGCGTGTGTGTGTATATGTGTCATGCTTTGTTGGAGTCACCAGTCAACCTTCTCAGTGGGAGGTCGCTCCTCCTCTGCTGCCCCTATTGTCTGTAACTCTTCCTCCTGGCCATATGTACTCCCAACTCCCTACCTCTGTTAAATTCGATCTCTTCTCAAAATAACATAAATACATATCAAGTATGCCTTCATGTGCCCCGTGACACAGGAGGATTCCTGCGAGGATGGGGGCGTGACACAAGATGAGATGGCGCAAGAAGACAGGGCCCAGGCGGTACCAGCACAGGACAGCGACATCGACGCAGACGTGGAGGATGGGAGTAGTAGGTGAGCGTCACGAGGCTCACTCGTCCATTACTTGGGCATACAACGCACCTCGCCCACCGCTTCACGTGTACAAAAACGTGAATTGTTTGAAATATGAGAAAAATCTGACGTATATTTTTAGTCGATCCCAAAGTGGATGTGTATTTGTTTTTAGTTTATTTGAGGGCGCCACAGTGGTAAGATGCTTACTGCCTCGCCTAGTATCCGGGAGGTCGTGGGTTCGATCCCGACCCTGACGCCTGTATATTTGGAGTTTGCATGTTCTCTCCGTGGTTGCGTGGATTATTCTACATGTCCTCTGGTTTTTCCCTCCACATTTTGAAAACATGCGTCTTGAGTATTTGGCTGCTTACAATTCTACATAAGCCACTTGGTTGAGAGCTCACGTGTGGCCAGGTCTCTTCTCAAAACGAGCTTTACAGCTCGGTGTGCTTTACCTGGTAAAATAAAAAAAATAGTCGTAGTAGAAGAGGCCAGACTGGTGCGTGCCTAGGCTAGTCCATGCCATGCTATATTGCGCAAGCTCATTCGCCCGAGTGGGTGGGTGGGCGGACGAGCGGGCGAGTTCATATGATGGGCTCTTTAGAAAGCGGTCTCGTACTATTAATAGGCTCACTCACTTGTAGCGAATTTCACGCCATCTATCCAAGTTAAATAACCCCCCCACCACCACCCTTCCCCTGGCACGGCACACCCTCCCGCAAATACAGGTTATAAATAGGAGCCACCATGCCCTCGTGCCACACGTGTTCATGTGGCGGCGAGCGCGTGTGGGTGAATGTGTTTTGTGCGCACGTGTAAACAACGCATGGATGACGCATGCAGAACCCGGTCCCTGGGAGAGGCGGGGCTTGCTTTGCCATGACAGCAGCAGCGACACATTACCGTGGGTCCAGATGCCGTGGTAGGACCCCCCCCCACCCCTCTCCACCTTGTTCCTTTGCAAATTAATATTCGCTCAGCGCTAGAGTTCAGCAGTAGACTAATAATTGTTTAACCCTCCTACTGCATTACCGATGTTCAAGGAAACATATTTGTTTCAATACCTGTCGACCCATACGGTTTACCCGTATTCTTGTTCAGGGAAATTAAGTTTTCAGGTCCATACGGCGTACAGCCGTTTCAATACGGGAAAAATATTTTTGTCTTTGTTTGTCTTTATCCCTTTTAATGGGTCGAGGATGAACGTTGAGCTTTATAAGAGCACGGGGTGACCAATACGGTCTGAATTGGTCTGTAATAAGGTAGGCACTGATATGGGATTGACAGGAATGTGTTTCAGGCACTGGCAATGTATGACACGAGCTGCGGTGGCATCTGTATAAATCCACATGGTGTCACGTGGGCCTCTGCCAATAAAGCATCACCGGATAGTTTGAGAAGTGGGCTTGGGCAAGACGCGTCGTGAGAAGGGGTGGTGGACGATGGTCAAGGACAATAACGGAGTGGCAGCCAAGGAATGGAACGCGTCTTGGAGGATGTCCACTGAGGAGATGGAGAAAATGAATCGGGCTTGTGCAATATGGTGGCAGCTTTGGGGTGCCTCCAACTAGCAGTGGATTGACCATGGCTGATGGTTAGCTTTTTAAAATAGGTGGTAAGAGTGAAGCAATTCTGCAGCCTATCACTTAAATCTGCAGGGTTGACAGGTATCCATGTGGCACGATGCTGCCTAATTATTTCCACGGCCTTGACTTATCACGTTTTAATCATGATAGTAGTCTGCCATGGCGTAAACATTCTTGATTTGTTGTCTTGGCGGTGATGGTGTGTGCTCCTGCCCACACATGGCTGGTGGTCTCCGCTTTTGAAATGTTTTCTGTCTCATCGACCGCTCGGTGCAAGCGTGGGGGGTGTGATAGCAATGACGCATTGACGCCTCGCCGGGTTCTCTGAGCAGCGCAGTCGGGTCCGGCGGGTTGGTGTTGCACAACGGAACTGTTACGGGTCTCGTCTCGCGGAGTCACCTACGCACAACCAAGTGTCTCTCTCTGTCTCTTTGGTGACCAACCTAGCGCAGCAATGCTCGAAGCGGAATCCCAGTGAATTAGTGGTCCCAGGAAGCTGAATGGGTTTGACATTTTACACTTGGCCAAATGCGAATTGTTTTAGTTCATTTCAAGTGATGGGGGATGTCAGCATAACCAGTTGCACAATTGGCTGCATGGGCCGGCAAGGAGCGATTTCCAAGCCAGTGCAGTAACGGGTACACACACACTCGGATACGATAAACAGTAAAGACTGCACGCGACACGAACCCTAGGACATCGTACCAAATAACACGCGGCACGACCCGGAAACACATCAGAGTGCTACATAAAACCGTAAAATTCTGCGCAGTGATAGAGATGGCATGTGGGTGGGTGGTGGCGCCATAGTGTTTTTGTCGGCACTGGGAGGTCGGCTTCTACTGGTTCCACCGTGCGTCGACTCTTGCCCCGTTTCACCTGCAGCGACCCGGAGCTCTCGAAGTCCTCCGGCTCTCCCACACGCCCGTCCGCGGCAGCTCTCGCTGCGTGTCACCTAGTTGTCACACGGCGTGCGCGCGAGGATATTAGAGCAACACGGGAGACGTGACCAACAGCGGTACGCAAGCAGAAGCGTGCGCACGAGGGTCGCGCCGTACATCCTTTGCATGCGCGTGAGCGTGTGGGATCGGCTGACTCCCACCCCTCGTCATCATGGCTCTGGCCAAAGTGGTGGATCCGTTTTATGCTTTTGATGTTGTTGACGAGCGATTACCCAGGCGTAAGTGGAGCAGTGCTAGTGGTCAAGTTGGGGGGGAGTGCGCTTGGTTTGTTGAGGGCTGTCACATCTGGTGAATACTTGGTGGGGGCACAGCTTGCCTGACTGTACAGGGCGCTGCTGGTGCTGCACACACTGGGGGTGGCTTTGTTGGTGGCGTAAGCGGTAAGAGGTTGAGAAATTGTATCGGACCACTACTGGCGATATACACAAACTGCATGCGTCCATGCTTGACTCAACATTGCATGCCATTTCATTAATGTCATGTGGTGCATACATTGTGATGTTGACCTTGCTCTTCACAAATAACTTTGCGTCTCAGGTTATGGACCATGAGCTGCAACATCTATGATGCGCGTGTTTGTAACTTTTGCAAGTCCCCACCTGGTGCACGTGCGCCTGTAACCGGCGCCGTCTTCATTTACTCGGCAACTTTTTTTTTTGTTCGAAGGCTTTGGATTTTATTTAGTCAGTTAGGCAGTCAAAAAAAATTGTCTATACTTTATTACATGCTGGTGAGTGGTGTGGAATGCTTTTATTGTAAGGCTAGCCATTTAGTGAACTCTAAAAAATATACATAGAGCCAATTACCTTTTTTATCTTCCTCAGTGCACTGCAGTTTCAGTAACGTAAATAAATTATCTTGTCTGTCTTTGTACAGTTCCGTCAAAGTCATGCTTTGGTCTTTGGCGGGTAGAAGTCGAAGTCGGTCATGCTTGAGGATTTTCGTCCACACTTTGGCCGAGGAATATTTTCGACGCTCGGTAACGAACGCTGCACCCCACGGCCGGTCCCATGCGTGTGCGGCGCAGGCTGTTGGACCCCAGCGGCCTGCAGCGCTCGAGCTCGCGGAGGCGGCGCCGCATGAAGCCCGTGCGGCAAGACACAACGGAGAGCGAGGACGACGCCAGCGCCGTGGTGAAGCGCCCGCGCTGGAGCCTGCGCCTGAGTCCGCACCGCGAGGGGAGACCGTCAGCCGAGGTACAACGCGCGGCAGTGGTGCCGGAAGCGCCCTCTGGCACACCGCCACCTGTCCACCGCGCTCTTATGCTCGACCGGCACTGTGCCGAGCACATGCATGCTTCCTTGCGACGGGGCTGTTAACAATTGAACCTCATGGCGGGACCCCGGGGTCCCGAATAAACGAAAGTCAAAATCGTAATTTATTTCTGGCGACTCGTCCCACCACGCACATAAACGCCGCGACCCACCTGGCGCGGATCATTCTGTTATGTCGTCCAAGCGCAGCGAGGACGAATGCGCAGAAGAAACAAAACTTTCAAACTTTGATTAGCGCATCGTGTACAGCTCATCGAGAGGAATAGATTGCCCTATCGTTCGCCTTCAACAGACCTAAACTAATGTCGCAACGCAGTTTATGCGAGAGCCGGGGGCTTATGGGACCCTGGGGTCCTGCCATAAGGTTAAATTCAGGAATGTCATTATTCTCCCCCTCCCTATTTGATTCAATAATCTCTTGTCTCATTTTTACCATCTCGTTTCTTGGGTCTGGGGGCATTGGCTCCATTAAAATAAATTAAACAAAATTATCATTTGCATGAACGTTCAATAATTCATCGTGGTACTTCGGAATCGGTATGCGGTGACGAGCGTAAGAATGCACTTGTGAAGCTGAACATCGCCCATTCCTACAGACGAGCGGTCTCCGATGCTCCCCCTCCTCCCGTCGTAGGAGAGCACGTCAAGGGTGCGGCCCCTCTGCGTGGCCCACCCGGGAACGGCCGATGCCTGCGATGGGCCCAGCGAGGCCCAGGGTGCCGACAAGGTGGCGGCGTCGTCACAGGTCGTGGGTGGCCGGCGCAAGCGCTGGGCGCTCCCGGCCGCATGCACCGTGGGCATTGCACTGCTGCTCCTGCTGGTAGTGTACGGTGTTCTGCAGCGCGATGGGTAGAGCACTTGTATTGAGAGTACGGGCGCGACCTTGTCTCCCCCGAAAGCGCCGTCAGGGTGCGTTCATTGTCATTGTTCTCGTCTTGTTTCTCGATGGCCTCTTAAGTGTTGGATGCACTCTACTCAGAGGGGAAATTCTCTCTGAAACCGCATTTGTATTTTCCGTGTGTGTAACCGTACACCTTGTGCATCCGGGTCTGTGCCCCCTCCTGTGCCTGACTGCAGGTTTTATATATTTTCCGCCTTTTTTTATTTTATGTTACCAGGAGAAGTATCAGCCGAGGCTTTGTCAGTTTTCTGGAATTGTCAAATAGCCCAATTGCAAAAGTCTGATTGCAGTTTTTGCAATCTTAAATTCGTGGCAGACCACACCAACTGTTAACGTTGACCGAAAATGCACAAGCGTTTGCCGTATGTTGCACTTTTGGGCAACTTCATGTGAAATGTTGAGATTTCCTCAGCATTTGACTTCAATTGAGAGAACACAGAAAACATGCCCCCCCCCCCTTCAAAACCACTGCAGGACTGTCTGTGCAACAGAGCGCCTCAGTGATAGCCCTGAGCTCTTGGACTGGCGTGAATACCAAAATGTACAAATGCTCGGATTTATGAGAATATCACGAGGGTAGAAAGTGCGTTGGCTTTTTTTGCAAGCAGTGTCGATTCGTTCAGTGCGAATGATTTTAAGGTGGCTTCTGACGGGCGCTGCGCGCTACATGTGATCAGTTCCACCGTGAAGGGCAGCAACTGGTCCAAGAGGCCAGGAATTAGGTTAATGTGCAACACGCACCATGCACACAAATGTCGCGGTTTATTGTCGATCATGAAGAAATGTAATAGCTCCCCCCGGACGTGTTTCCGGGGTTATGTGCTGTTGAGCATGATGTCCAACGTTTTTCTCCGTGTGTTTGGAGCTTCGGAAAGTGAAATGAACAGTTCGCTTGCCCTCCCCCAATCTCATGCTGAACAACAGCGCATTGGGGCTGTACAGGCATTGGGCTGTACAGCGCATTGGGGCTGTACAGCGCATTGGGGCTGTACAGCGCATTGGGCTGTACAGCGCATTGGGGCTGTACAGCGCATTGGGGCTGTACAGCGCATTGGGGCTGTACAGCGCATTGGGGCTGTACAGCGCATTGGGGCTGTACAGCGCATTGGGGCTGTACAGCGCATTGGGGCTGTACAGCGCATTGGGGCTGTACAGCGCATTGGGGCTGTACAGCGCATTGGGGCTGTACAGCGCATTGGGGCTGTACAGCGCATTGGGGCTGTACAGCGCATTGGGGCTGTACAGCGCATTGGGGCTGTACAGCGCATTGGGGCTGTACAGCGCATTGGGGCTGTACAGCGCATTGGGGCTGTACAGCGCATTGGGGCTGTACAGCGCATTGGGGCTGTACAGCGCATTGGGGCTGTACAGCGCATTGGGGCTGTACAGCGCATTGGGGCTGTACAGCGCATTGGGGCTGTACAGCGCATTGGGGCTGTACAGCGCATTGGGGCTGTACAGCGCATTGGGGCTGTACAGCGCATTGGGGCTGTACAGCGCATTGGGGCTGTACAGCGCATTGGGGCTGTACAGCGCATTGGGGCTGTACAGCGCATTGGGGCTGTACAGCGCATTGGGGCTGTACAGCGCATTGGGGCTGTACAGCGCATTGGGGCTGTACAGCGCATTGGGGCTGTACAGCGCATTGGGGCTGTACAGCGCATTGGGGCTGTACAGCGCATTGGGGCTGTACAGCGCATTGGGGCTGTACAGCGCATTGGGGCTGTACAGCGCATTGGGGCTGTACAGCGCATTGGGGCTGTACAGCGCATTGGGGCTGTACAGCGCATTGGGGCTGTACAGCGCATTGGGGCTGTACAGCGCATTGGGGCTGTACAGCGCATTGGGGCTGTACAGCGCATTGGGGCTGTACAGCGCATTGGGGCTGTACAGCGCATTGGGGCTGTACAGCGCATTGGGGCTGTACAGCGCATTGGGGCTGTACAGCGCATTGGGGCTGTACAGCGCATTGGGGCTGTACAGCGCATTGGGGCTGTACAGCGCATTGGGGCTGTACAGCGCATTGGGGCTGTACAGCGCATTGGGGCTGTACAGCGCATTGGGGCTGTACAGCGCATTGGGGCTGTACAGCGCATTGGGGCTGTACAGCGCATTGGGGCTGTACAGCGCATTGGGGCTGTACAGCGCATTGGGGCTGTACAGCGCATTGGGGCTGTACAGCGCATTGGGGCTGTACAGCGCATTGGGGCTGTACAGCGCATTGGGGCTGTACAGCGCATTGGGGCTGTACAGCGCATTGGGGCTGTACAGCGCATTCGCAAAAAAACATTTGCTGGATAATGAACTAAAATATTGAATTGTGACATGGAATGGGAGTGACCGAGACCAGAGTTGTGCAGAGGTGTGTTGCATATGAAAGTGAATGAAATTGTGAATATGGGCTATGCCAAGCAGATGCCTCCTCCTACCCTTCCCTGTAGTATTCGTCTGTGTCCTCAGCTCTCCGATGTGTTTGAGTTGTAGCACGTGTTGGTCAGCATGTCATAGTTATTTGAAGCTTCCAGCACTTAGAATAAAATTTGAGACAATGATGCTGAACCAGCCGTGGTATGACCCGAAAATGCACGGGAGAGCGATACACGGCACAACCCCGCGAAAACCTACACCGTGGCCTTAGCTGCCACTGCTGCCCTGCACTGTGGACTTTTTCAATCTGGACTTCATTTTTTGGATAATCTTGAGAAACAAAACACGTCGACAATCCTTCCCGGTCCAGGTGAGGTGTGCATTCTTCAACTGCATGGAGTTGTTTGTAAGTAACCACTCGATATTCTTTTTATAAATTGGCCTTGTCAGCAAGTGCGGTGTTGGCTGGCGCAGGTCATTTAACAAGTGGGAATATTGTACATAATGCCTCAACTTAATTTAACTTCCAGATGACAATATTTAGTTCGCTGCTGACCTGTCACTTAACGGATGTTGTTTTAAGGATGTAACCCAAAAAGGTGATTTTACCTTGTAGTTGAACACAGGTAATAGGTTCAGACGTTGACACACATTTCCAGCCTATAAAGCGATTGTAACATTGCCGCAGTATTTATTCGAGTGAAGCGGTGGTCATTGGAATGCTGACCATAACCTAAGGGTTTTCTCACAGCTCTAAACAAAGCTTCACACTTAAGACAGCTATCAACAGCCTGTCTACCTACAAGGTAAGAGCACTGTGTTGGTTGGGTTGTATGTGTCAGAGCACTGTGATGGTTGGGTTGTGTGCGTGTAAGAAGTCTGGACTGCCAGCTGAGCACATGTAAAATCCTGCACATTAAAGTCGTACCTATTTTTATTTCCAGTGTGTGGGCTCATCAGTGAGAATGTAAACAAATCACGAGCACAATGACCTCTGAGTAAGTCAGCCTGGACTGCTACAGACAGCGCCATTGGGTGTAGCCTTTATTAAATTTCTAAAACAAAACGCAGAGCGGTCACAACTGTACATGCCACAGAGCCGCTGGCCAGACGCGCTGAAACGCAGCACTGCCAACGAGTTCCTTAAAAATAACTCCGCTGCTAGTAGCTGTTGTAACAGCTATCCCTCTGTTCTATGAGATCGCAAGCGGTTCTAATGGGAGTCACAGGTCTGAAGTGTCCCACTTTCAAAGCTAAACACCCAGACTGTCGGCTTCCGCATGTGTACATTTTAATTGTGGCATTGAAGTGTAGCAGAGTGACTCACCACAGGCGATCACTTAAAATATATTAGGATCTCATCCCATGAGAAGTTGTTTTTGCAGGACAAAGGATTAACTAGGGGTTTGAGTAGCAGTACTAGGTGATGGTTTTTATTAAGAGTTTAGTGCTGCCCACTTGCGGTAATGCTGGTGTAGAGCACTGCTTAGGGAAATGAAGAAAATCTCAACACTATACAGTACTTGGAATTCACGTGCATAGGCACAAACAACGCCATGCATATTCATGGGATCAACTGACGAGATTAATGGTGGAAGCTACAGTGCACACTTCCCTGGTCTCTACCCCCGAATTCTCGTCCACTGTTATCAGCACAACACAAGGAAAATAAAACACCAGAAACCTCGTGGCAAAATACAGCAGCAGCAATAGAATTCTTCAATTGAGCATTCAAGGTAAAAATGAACGAACAAGCCTGCACCCTCGGTAGTGGTGTTTAATTTGCCTCTGACACATCGCACATGTACCACAGCGCCCCCCCCCATCCCGCCATTCCCGAAGGGCTTATCCGACCACGACGGTGTCTTCGTCAAGGAACTCATAGTAGGGCACCTCGAGATTAAGCGGCGCAGGCCCCTTGCGGATGCGCCCCGAGTTGTCGTAGTGGGAGCCGTGGCACGGGCAGTAGTAGCCATTGTACTCGCCCATGTTGGGGATGGGCACGCAGCCCAAGTGCGTGCACACACCCAGCACAATGAGCCACTCGGGTTTCTTGGCACGTTCATTGTCATGCTCGGGGTGGCGCAGGTCGGCCAAGTTCACCTGCGAACACAGCACAGCGCCATGGGTGAGTAGGATTCCAGATACAATGGGGTGAAGTGTGGATTTATGTGGTAGCGAAAAGCAACCTTGCCTCAACTCTGTATAGAGACGGTGGGCATATTTAATTATGAGTACGGGCATTCGGTCAGAGGTCTCTGTGGATCTATGGGTGTCTGAGCATATACAAGAAAATGGATAAAGGCAAGAAAGTGATGATCCAAAACAAAACTTTCAGATGGCCAGAATTTTGTATCCATTCCCAATTTTCTATTGTCTCATAAGCAATTGGGAAGCATGTCCCAAGTGGACAAAATATAAGACAAGTCAGGGCGGCACGATGACCAGACCTTCTGCTCGACGTTGACCTCCTCTGCGGTGCGGTGGCGAATGAAGAGGGGCTTCCCGCGCCACTTGAGGGTCACGTTCTGGCCCTCGCCAATGTTGTTGAGCTTGACTTCGATCTTGGCCATGGCCATCACGTCGGCCGAGGCGCTGAGCGTGGCGACGCACTTAACAACTGCTGCCTTGGCAACGTACAGGCTCGCCACGGCCGCGGCGCCCGATACCAGGTAGGTGAACGCCTTGCGGGAGTCATAGCTGTCCTGTGGGTGGGGGGGGGGGGAGATGTGGTACCAGCGACATCATGCCTGTACTCCCCACTAGCACCAGTGTCAACCAAGACCCCTATTCCACTGGCACATTTGAGCTGAGTCGCAGCAGGGTCCTCATAGTATGGGTGGTTTTCCACATTTGAATAATCGGGCTCAGGGCCAAGGAATGGCAGGGTGAAGACATGTTCAGTGCATAGGACATAGGTAGCACGGCTTCTGCAATGGAAAAATCTGGTACCTATGGAGCCGTACCAGGCGGGATCAGCACGGGCCTGGCGTGGCTTGGCTGTACCAGAGGGAGAAGATCTCGGATGTACAGTGGAAAATAAATCTATTCGTAAAATGTTTGCAGTCCCATTGGAACAATATTTGTTCCAATCAGAAAACATCGGTTCCAGTTCGGGTAACCTCATTTGAAAAACAAAAATGGGGTACAAATATTCGTGAGGGGACCCTATGTTGCTAAGGGGGAATGAGTGTTCCTGGGGAATATATACTTTAAGGCATGGGGGGGGGGGGGGTGACATACATCAAAAGGTGATATTGGGCCAGCTTGTGTGACGTTTCTCACCTTTGAGGACTTCGTGCTGTCCTGTACATTTGACCGCCTGTACGCACTGTAGTCCGGGACACTGACATCGGTATGCGCGAAACGTACGCTGCTGGTTGCTGCCAAAGACAAAGAGATGCTCCGTTTAATCATCCCCAGGATACTGGGGGGCAAGCACTGCTAGCAAGGACTGATAAAGCGTGGCGCTCGATGGAGTGCTTGTGGCCAGCACCACACTAAGCTCCCTTTGTCTCCCAGGTGGTGACATTTACACAACAGGATCAAGGTGCCCAAGCCGTTGATGCCACCGCCACACCTCACCGTCTTCTACCCTCCGCCTAGATCCCGCAGCTGCTGCACAGTCGACTCGCAATTTGAAAGAACTTCCATAACATTATATTTCTGACTTTCAAATAACTGTCCTTCCCATGCACCTTCCGATTACCACGGCTGGCTACGTATAGTGTGAAAGAAGTTCAACATATATATAATTGTGGTTGGTGGCAGAACAATACACACTAGGTGAGGATTATATTGGCCTACTTGAGGCTCGTCTACCTATGGCTGATTGTATTGATCTGGATGAGTCAGGACTGGTTCAGATATTTTCCACTGTTGAAGGAATTAAATTCATGTCACCGTTTTTTATTGCAATACGCTAACCACTCTCCCACACACAACGCAGTGCTTCAACGCACGCAACAGCAAGTGAGGCTCTTCAAAGACTCCGATTAGCACAGTTGGCTACGTATGGTGCGAAAGCTCAAGATACATCTCACCCACCGTGGTCTGCTCAAGTGCCTTGCTTCTTACCAACCTCCAGTGTCACTGCATTCAATGGGAGGTTGCTATTTCTCCTTAGCTGCTCATTGTCTGTAATTCCCTGACATCAAAAACATGTCCT